CGCCGAGGGCGAAGATCGACGATGCTCTGGCCGAGATCGCTCCCCGGAAAGAACCTAAGCGCCGGATCCAAGCGCCAATACCTACCGTAGATCGAGATGAGGAACTATGGGTAGTCCGTTTTGACGGATCCACCCGGGTCAAGCGCGGTGGGGGCGCGTTCAGCGCGATTGTGTGGAGTCTTCCCGGATGGGAGGTGGTCAAGGCCAGATCAGGATATCTCGAGAATCTCACGGTGAACGAAGCCGAGTATAACGGCTTGATCTCGGGCCTCGACATGCTAGAGGGTTTAGATCGAAGACGCCTGGTGATCTGCGGGGACTCCAACCTAGTGATCCGGCAAGTACGGGGGGAGATCGATTGTAAGGCACCCGGGCTGACGTTATTGAAGCGGAAAGCCCTCGATCGCCTAAGGAAATGGAACGATCACGAGTTGGTTCACGTCAAGAGGGACTGGAACGGAAGTGCCGACAGTCTGGCAAGCGCCGCTCTCCAGCGACAAAGGGGGATCGAGGTCCAGGAGACGCCCGGCCACCAGGATCTGTCCTGAACCGTTTAGACGAGGTCTTGATCCCCAAGACGGAGAATCCGGTGGTTCGAGTCGCCGCGGTGACCACTCGAGCTGGTCGAGCAAGATCACCGGCGTGTGTCTTGGATGAGAATTTGATCCGCGAAATCCGAGTTGATCGGATCAAGCGGGCCCAAGAGGAAGAAGTCTGGATCGCCGGCATGAAGAAGTATCTAAGTGGCTCGATCGCGGATCTCACCCAAACGGAATCAAGACCGTATCGTATGGTAAAATCGCGGCTGACTACGAGGTGGACGAGCAGGATCTACTCTTTTACTGCCCCCCTACGTCGAGATCGGGAGATGATCGCGACCGAATGATGAGATTGGTTGTGCCCGAAACGCTACAGTCGGACGTCTTACACCACTATCACGCCACGTTGGAGGGAGGACATCAAGGAGTAGGGCGCACCTACCAGCGGATCAGGGATCACTTCCATTGGAGGGGATTATACCGAAGCGTCCAGCGGTACGTGAGGGAATGCGTAGATTGCGAGACAGGAAAAGGAAAACCGGTGATCCGGGGTGAATCACCTGGGAACTTGCGGGCGACGTACCCGTTCCAGATTATTGCGATGGATCACATACCGTCGCTACCCAGACAAGGGGAACACTGAGTTACTGATCTGGGTCGATCTGTTCACGGGATGTGTAATCGCCAAGGCCAGCTCGTCTCGATCGGCCCAGACGGTCGCGGAGTCGTATGAAGAGTGTGTAT